AAGAAGTGGGCTGTAGTCCACGAAAGCTTATGCTACTAATAAATTTGTTAGTCTCTAAGGTGCCACAAGTCCTCCTAACCTCCTAATGTCCAGCAAAGCAACACAGAAAGCTGTTTCTGGATCAATTTACTATTCTGATGAACACCCTCCACTGATATTGCATTAACAAGCGAGGACAAATGTTACAATATTTTTCATCCACTCTAATATGTTTCAGCACGTGCCTCTTTGTCTTCATAAGCCATAGATGTAGCACAGTTTGGACAGCAGACCTGCCGCCGTGGGCATTCCAGTGTCATGTGGTTTTGCAGCTGGTTCTTCGGGAAGGAGCTCTGGCATTGTAGGCATTCCACAGAGCAGAAGTCACAATGCAACTGATGCTCCTGCATAAGGAGCAACAAAAGGATGTGGTATTAGAAACCCCCAAAAGTGCTCCAGGTACCAGCTACTCATACATCTCCAAGATGGACCAAAATGGCTCCAAGAGGAATACAATTGGCACCTTTAATATTCTTTCAGGCCCCAATCCTGCAAAAGGATTTGCCCGCATTAGCCCTTAAACCCAGAACCTCAATGACTTTTATTGCAGTCCATACGGAAGAGCTCTATAGCAGAGCCAGGGTTTGAACAGGACTATAAATTCAAAGCTCTGCACAAACATTAATACTGAAGAGTTTTATCATATGGCTACTTTTTACAGTTTAACACACTGTTTAATTGGACAACTTCCAGGACTATTTAAAAATTGTTTATATTTTATTCAGATTGCTTTGAGCAGGTATTAACTGGCATTTTGGACACTGGATATAGAAAGCATATGGTTGGTGACAAAGCACATGGTTGGTGACAAAGACAGGCCAAAGGGAGACTAAAATGATGAAACTAATACCACTGTTTTTAACATTATAGGCACTATCTTTTGCTGTATGCAAGCTGTGACATACGGCTTGCGGTAAGGTAACTAAGATCAGCCACTTATTTCTTTCAATTAGAGAAACAGAACCAGCCTTGATCAAAAACAGTGGATTTGAAACCACAACTACCAAGAAGATGAAGACCATCTACATAGAGTCATTTTGGAGATTTTTTTAAAATTTCGAAATGGGAAACTATTTTCCATTTTTAAAATGATTCTTACCTCTAGATGTCTCAGCTCCATCTTCAGAAGACAGCCCTTGTTGGGACATCTCACCTTCAGTGAGAGGATTTCCCGTTTGGCAAAGTTGTCAGGGAAGAGTTGGTTTTCGAGTAGAATTTCATTGTCTACTGGACATTTGTGACCTGCATCTCTACCATAAAAAGAAGAGGATGAAGTGATATGTATGCACAAGAGAAAAAAATATCTAGAAAATCTCAGACTTCTTTCCCTACCCTTATTTTAAAGTCTTCTCTTACACTAATGAAAATTTCATAATAAAGTTAACACTTTTTATTTCATTATTTATTTCATTGGAAATAATGGCAGTTACACAGCAACTAGCATGAATTATACTATAAAATAACCTGATAACTAATGTTACCAGAATACTACATGTATGTAGGTTTCAAAATAATTCCATTTGTAGTAGCATTCCTTTGGGTTAGAATAGTGTTAAATTTGCTCAGATCCAGCTGGATGATTGCACTGGTAAGCATTCTGGGAATAAACCTGCAAAGAGGATACACAAAGGCTAATAATTTAGGTTCCCATTTCTGCAGCCATTTCATGAACAATTCCTATTGAAGTCAATGGGTGTTTGTTCCACACACAAAAAGGATTTGGAATCAAACATTTAAAGAGTTCTGCACCTTTTGTCCCATCTCCTCTCACTTTTTTTTTTTTAAAGCATGAAAACATACCATTGTTACAAGCAACACCCACATAATTAGAAGTGGAGAAGCAAGTATTTCTATTTTTTCCAGTTTGTTTACTTTATATTTGACAGCACTTTTGTCTAGTCAGTTTCCCTGTTACCTTTGTATAATCAGTTCGACTCCTTTATTTTGTGTCTTTCACACACCAACAGGAATGAGAAAAGCCACTGGTAAGAAGCCTGAAGTAATGCTCAAGACATAAAAACGACAAGGGATTTGGGGCAGGTGTATCTGAAGCCATTTTAAGAAAAGAAATTGAAATTGACTAGATTTCAAGTGGTGCCCCTTAAAAGTTTAATGTATCATTTTCCTCGTTTTACACTCATATATGCACAGGACACATTCAAAAAAAGAGCTGCTATGTAATGCAATTCAAATAGCAATTCACCCATACTGTCTCCCATGCCCCAATTTTTGTCTGGAACAGCAGAGATTACCTGGCACCTGCCTTATGGGATTACCAACACATGCATATGGGAATGTACAAAGTTAAGTAATACAGTTAAACAGAAGAATTCTGAATTGTGGTGCTAATGGACAATACTGCTAGTGTGAAAAAATGTGGATTAACAATACTCTGAGTGGGTTGTGAGTCAGAGGGCCTTTGAGGTTCAAATATCATTGGATTTGGGGGTGGGGAGAGGTAGAAAGTGTTGTTCACTTGATAAGGAAATCATTGGCCAGCACCTACTCTGTTACCTCCCCTTTCTGTAGCAGTAATGCTAAGTTTAGACTTTAGAAAGAGACCATGACCTTCCTTTTTATGGTTTTGATTCAGGAGATGGTTTGCCACAAGAATCTCACTCCTAAACAAACGGAAAAAACAAAGCAGTGGTCTGCAGTTTCAGATCTCATAGCTCCCCAGTCCAAACACTGGTCTCAGTGTCACAATACACAAACATTCATTCTACTTACAACCTACAACCGGAAGCTGGTTGTTACAGGTACAACGTGGTGTAACGCATTACAAACTTCCTGCTTATAATTAAGTTTATAGTTAGCAACTGGACCACATTAAATAAAAATCAGCAATTTTTCATGGCCAGGGGAATGGGAATTGCCTCAGCTCTAAAATGGGTATAACACCCACCCACCCCTTTACAGTGACGGGATAAGGATTAGCTAATCAATGACTGCAGAGTAGTATATAAATGCAAATTATTTACAACAAATATTTTAAGTAATGTATTTGTGAATTTGATGCACTTAAGTGTTTGCAAATGTGACATCAAGACTGGTTAGAGCCGGGCTTAGTGTGGAAAGATGCTATACACACTTCCCACACACAGTTCAATATATGCACCCTAGTACCAATTTGCCCTGCTTGTTATTCAAGATTGGGAGCTTTCCTGCAGAGGCGCTAACTTTCTGAGTTCTCCGGGGGTGCTCAACCCCCAGCTCACCTCTTCCCCCAAGCCTCCACCCTACTTCTGCCTGCCCCCTCTCCTGCCTCCCCCTCAATGCCTCCTGCACGCTGCTGAATAGCTGCTCGCCAGTGGGTGGGAGGCGCTGGAAGGGAGGGGGAGGAGCTGGGGGCCTACCGGCAGGCGGGAGATGATGGGGTAGTGGTGGTGGAGCTGAGGCCCATTAGTGGGTGGGAGGTGCTGTGAGGGGGTGGGGAGGAGCTGATCGGCAGGGCTGCCAGTGGGTGCTCAGCACCCACTATTGTTTTTCCATGGGTGCTCCAGCCCCAGAGCACCCACAGAGTCGGCGCCTATGCTTTCCGAACAATGACTGAGAATCATGGTAAGTTGTGCCACGATGAGTGGTTCTTGTGACATGGCCAAGAATCTACTAGTAAGTACATTGAGAATATTATATTCACTAGTGATCTAAATTCAAAGCCAAAGCACCATCTAGCCTCTAAAAATTGCTCAACAAACCTTTGCATGTCTGAGCAGCTTAACTGAAGTGTAATGGTGCCTCTGTACACGATTGCTTTATTGTGATTGTATCTTACATATGCCTATCAATGAATATTTAGATTGGGAAAGAGGCAGGAAGCTTAAAGGAAAAAGACAGAAAGTGAACTAGCCTAGTCAGGCTATAAATAGCCATTGCTACTAGAGATAGCTCAGTAAGATACCCAATGGCAAAAGTTAATTGGAGAAACCTGAAAAAGAGAAAAAGGTAAGATTTACTTCATCCTCAACCTGATATTTAAGAGAGTAGCCTGTTTAAGATTTTTTTTTTAAGCCCCAGTCACATTCTGGTTAGGTCACAGACTTCCTTGGCAACGGTTCTCCTAACACCACAGGCAGGCAGGTCCCTCACCTATAGCAGTAATTGAAACGTTAGGATTTTCAGTGAAGTTATGGAATTAAAAACATTTTAAAACACTGAAGAGTTTTAAAATGTCACTAGTAAAAAGTAGAAGCATAGTGTGCATTACACATTCAGATTCCTTGAGGAGTTTTAGATGAGCTTCTAAAGAGGTTTTACGACTATTGCTACTATAGCTTCAGATTGGATAATATGGATGGATGCACTGACCAAGGTAGGCATGTCCCTTGAAGTACGGTCCCATATTAAGGATGTGCAAGAACATTTTAATCCTATATTCCAGATGTTTTGTGGATGGGCTCTTGGACAACGTGAGCAATGATGCTGCACTGGAACAGCTATAGGCTTGGGAGCCTTGGTTTGCTGAATCCCCTTTGTTGTTTTGCCCTATAAATAAGAACTATATGGTATGACCCCTAGCTCCGATTTGCAAGTCATTTGACTAGTTTTTCCTTTCAGCTCTTGAATGCATTATTTGCAGATACCTTTTTTCCTACTGTGCAGCTCTACAGATTGTTGGAAGTTATTAGTCAAGTTATTTGCTGCTTTTTCTGGCAGTTTTTCAACCAGCTGTAGTGGCTGTTTCAGAGATAGCCTCTCTTTTCCTGTAGTATCACAGCACATATAATCAGCTAAAGTGCTTCTGCTTATGGCCCCCCAAACTGAAATGGGAGGGAAAGTGGAGGCAGTGTTTTTCCAGTGAGGGGCATTTGACTGTAGAACTCAAGCCACTCATTTCTGTTGGTCCATCAGATGCATAATATATCAAATGTCAGAAAACTAGTCAAGTGCTACATAAGTTTTGACAGAATGAGATTATAGGGGACAGAAAACTGGAGTCACGTTTTATTTTTTCAGTATTATATTGGTGCTTACAGATTATTTTTACTTCTAAAATTTGCTAACCAAAAACAAAAGCCAATACCTCTAATGTGGAAACACACACTAACAGTCACCTAAAGAAGCCATTGTCTTTGCTACTGTAGGTCAAATAAGCCATCCCTTAATAGTACCTAAAGGTGTTTTCTAATGCTTTACTTACAAAAAAGCCAACACTTTCTGAGAAGCAATGTAATGTACTGCGATCCAACCCACATGATGTATTTGTAGCCTACATGACGTAATCTAAAGTTCATTTTTAAAAAGCTTCTAGCCCTGGATGCAGATAGTTTTTCAAATGTGGACTAAATGTAACCAATGTAGTAACATCTTCCCAAGTCTGCAGAAAGCTTGAAACAATGCACTGAGGTCTGAACTCCTCTGCCCCTTACTAACTGGATTAGAGTATTAATTCTAAAGCCCAATGATGGCACTTTCATGTCAAAATTAACTCAGAGGCATAGGAAAGGGTAAAACAGAGATGGGGAAGGACAAGAAACAAAAGACAGAAGTAGAGATGGCTTAAAAGGGGAACAGATTTTCCCACTTAGTGATGACTGTGACAATCACATACTGAACAAATAACTAAACAGTTACTATATAAAAGTCAGTTTTCCCCTTGATCTCTGTGGGAGCCTCCTGTTGATATCAGTAAGTGTGCTGTGGAAAGTATGCACCCTGAATTAATACCCTGACTGATGGGCCACAATTAAGTATGGAATTCAGCCCTGTCCTCCAAATGTTTGACACTTGCACTGCAAATCCCATTTTCACTATCACTAGTCCCCACTCAAACCACACTGCAGAGACAAACTTCAATAGCAATGAACCAGAGAGGGAATTACTAATAACACTCAAAATATCATGGGGATGATCTGCAGTTTCCCAGATCTAAAAGATGTGGCACCTCTGTTTGGTATTCACTGAAACAGTCAGTGCTGAAATGAAAGGAGACAGAAGTAGGAAGTTCCTTTTCTGTGAAATAAAAGCGTTTTGTTATTAGTACCCTCTTACAGGTCAAATAGGTGTCATTTTAGACTGAGCAACTGCACTGTAGTTACAAGGAAGAGAAACCAGTTCCCATGCACTGAGGTTTAGAATGGAAGTTTCTCCACCTGTGTTTTCTTTTGAACACCTTATTTCCCCATGTTCCACATTAAGCAATATGATGGCAAGCACCTATTAAACAGAATTTGGGGTGCAGTCATTAAGTGGCAGACTATAAAAGCATCTCAAGAGCAGAAGGATTGGAAAATAACAGTTTAAGGTATGCAAGGATCCTAAAGTAAAGTGAATATGAGGAACCTCTCACCCAGTGAGAATTTTCTGTAATAATTTTTATGATTCCTATGCACGCTTGAGTTTCAGTATGTATTTTGCATCGCTTTCTGGGGGCACAAAAGGTTTAAACACATGAGATGTTGGGTCACCTAGGTGTGGGGTGGAATTAATGGGTTATTAAAGGACTGGCTGAAACCAACCTATATCAATGGAGAATGGAAACACAATGGAAGCCTCAAGAACTAAGCAACTGACACTTATGGGAATCTCTAACAGGCAGAGCATGTAAACTCAACATGGGCCAACAAGCTCTGGATAAGAGTTGGCTTTTGGGACGGGGTCAGCAGCTCTCACCTGGGAATGACCATGAGACAGAGCCAGAAGCAGATTCCATAGCAGCTTGGCCAGATGGAAAGCTGACTTGCCCAGAATGGCCTATGTTTTAATCTTTATTTCCTCGATGCTAACCTAAGGACTTCCTCATGCTGTGTTCCAGCTGACTAATAAATCCGACTGTTTTGAAAGGCTGCCAGATGGCACTTCAAATACTTGCTGAGGTGTACTGGTCCCTGAAGAGAGTAAAATTCTGACCAGAAGTCTATCTCTGTTGGATTCACTGAGCAGAGCTCACAGTGTGAAACAGCAGCGCTGGAGCCCAGATGTCTTATAGGTGCTAAGTCTATGTGGCCTACCCTCAAGGAAGAGTGGGACCGCTTGAGGGTCTGACACAGAGCGGTTCCTCCGAGGGTCCTGTTTAAAAGCTGGGACATAGCAGAGCTCTTGTGTATCCGTGACAGAACTCTGACAGAAAATTTTAATTAAAAAAATCTGCCTTTTTATTCAGTGAAGTTGTTGGGAGACTAAGGAATTTCTAAAGCTCCATATTCACCTAAGTATCTAGGTGATCTGCTTGCAAGTTCAACAGATACTACATCCCCTTTGAGTGTTTTGATTCCTTGTGCAAATTTATTCATAAAATCCTAAGACTAGTTTGAGCAGAGGATATGTGCTGGTGCTACTGCACACAAGAAGTCAGGCAGAAATAAATCCTGGAGTCCTGACTCCCAGTGGCCTGGCCTAACTTCATATAAAAATACTTAAAAGCCTGGTATCGAAGACTTGTAAGTTATCTAGGTATGTATTGGATAACAAACTCCGTTCTAGTGAGAAGTGTATACTGTATATAAATTGCACACAAGAACTACATTAAGAAAATTAAGATTGCAAAGTCATGCACCCAAAAGCAAAAGTAGTAAGGTGTAAATTATTGACAGTGAAGGTAATTAACCATTGGGACAATTTACCAAAGGTCATGGTGGATTTTCCATCCATCACTGGCAATTTTAAAATCAAGACTGGATGTTTTTCTAAAAGCTATGCTCTAGAAATTATTTTGGGGGAAGTTCTATGGCCTGTATTATGCAGGAAGTCAGACTAGATGATCACAACGGTCCCTTCTGGCCTTGGGATCTATGAAAAAAAAGCAAGTGTTAGAATTAAGATTACCTATGGAACTGTGCATTATAAAACAGTCTTTAATTACATGGTCATATACTCCCCGCTCCCGCACATCTGTAAGTCCCTGCCTTATTCAGTGCACAGGACTGACTGTGCTCATTTAATGAGCAGCTATTCAATATTTCATTTTATACTTGTTTACTGCTCACCATTCAAGTTCTGTTATGAATACAGAATTAAATTCTTCATGGCTTTTCTATGGCTATCATCATTATAGTACAAGTGCTTCACAAACATTAGTGCATCTATCTTCATAACAAGTCAATAGTATTCACTAATTTGGGTGTCAAGTTTGAAAAGTGACTAGGACCTGATTTTTTCAGAGTACATGGCACTTTACACATTCAAATACAACTCCCAATGACTTCAGTTGCAGCTCTGAGCATTCAACATTCTTGCAAATCAGATCCCAGGGTCTCAAGTCAGGCATCCAGAAAATGAGGAACACAGTCAGTGGCCACCTGTGAAAAGTTTGGTTTAAGTAATTTGCCCAGTGTCACATAGGAACTCTGGCAGAGATAGGGATAGAATCCAAATCTCTAGGGCAGCATTAAACTGCCTAAGCCATGAGACCATCTTTTCTCTCCCTGTAATTCCCCACCCCATTCACTACACATCTTCCAACTTCTACAAGGAGTGAGGCCAGACAATAGCCTCATATTGCAATACAACTGATTAATTCCATGAGCATTGTCCATCCCATGCACAGAATGGGGCAGGGAACCTGCAGGAAAGACAGTATGTGATCATGTAATTAAAGACTGTATCATAATTAAGGGTGGTGAAGCACTGGAATGGGTTACCTAGGGAGGTGGTGGAATCTCCTTCCTTAGAGGTTTTTAAGGTCAGGCTTGACAAAGCCCTGGCTGAGATGCTTTAGTTGGGGATTGGTCCTGCTTTGAGCAGGGGGTTGGACTAGATGACCTCCTGAGGTCCCTTCCAACCCTGATATTCTATGATTCTATAATGGCCACACATGAGGGTGACAAATTAAGGTGGCACAGGCAATCTTAATTCTGGCATTTACTAACTTTTGAGTGCTTGATTTTGCAGCCTTAACATTTTAATGTAGTTTTTATGAATGTTATTTCCTAGGTTTTTTAAAAAGCAAACTAAAACCCCTCAAAAATTCTATCAAGTGGAAGTCCACTGATTTTTACATGGGTCATCTAAAGGTACTAACCCTGCTAATCCACAGCACAGATCTCAGCTACTCACTTTGCTCAGTGGCAGAGAGCAGTAGTAGTTTGTCATCCTGTATGTAGGATGGGCACATTTTACTAATGGCTTCATGTGACCAAAAGCACCCGTGTTCACACACTACATACTACTGTAATAATCTTGGTACAAAATACACCTTGTAAGGTATCGTTTGAAAACTAATAACTTGCTGCTCAATATGAAATGTGAAATGCTTGTGAAATGTATGTATATATAAAGTTATGAATTCCTCCTGTGTGATGGTGTTAGCACATCTTCAAACTCATGCAGTCCTGACTAGGCAAAAGTTGTTAAGCTGGTCTATCCTAAACAAAGATATGTAAATTCAGGTAAATACACATTCAAGTAGTAAACAGGGTCCTTGATCCAGCTAGAGGGTGAAACAGCAGGAGACAAGCATACACAGAGGAGAACAAAGAGCATGCAGCCATCCTCACCATCAGCCTCCATGTCGCCTTCTTTACTGTTTGAATAAACTTTGCTTTGATGGGTATTCCTCAGAAGAATCCAATTCAAAAGAGTGGCTGGACTACAAAACTGAGGGGCAAAAACACCCCAAGGCATCTCTCCCTATCTCTCTCTTTTACCTAAGATAACAAAGGAACCAGCCCCTGGACTTTGGGGGAGATCCTGACCTCAGAATTTGGTCAGCAATGTTGTTGGGAACATACCAGTAAGGATTTTACCTTGAACCAAGTCTAACTTGTTAAGTTTTAGCTACCAGAAAGCATTTTATCTTTATTTCTCTTGGAATCATTTCTGACTTTAATACCTCATATTTGTACTCACTTAAAATCTCTCTTTAAAAATAAAACAAGTTTATTTAGCTACAGTCTAAACTAATTCAATGTTGTGTTTCAACTCAGCTGTTTGGTAACTCCAGTTAAAGTAGCAAACTGTTGACCATTGACAAGGGTAATGAACCTCTAATATCTTAACTGTTCAGGAGAGGACTGTACAGTGCACGACACAGGTTTGGGGGGAAAATTTTGGACTGGGAGTGTGTTGGGGTCACCCAGCAAGTAGTAACCAAGGCTTCTGGAAGCAAGAGTATGTCTGGTGTGTTGCTGACAGGCTGCTGGGGTCAGAGTTGCTGGGTCAGGGCTGTATCTGCCTATACAGAGACATGCAGTGTGTGACCTGTAGGCTGTTTCTGAGCAGCCCAGAAAAGCATTGTGAGGTACCCAAGGTTGCAGGGCAGGCAGTGACAACTTCTCATTGGTCTGGACTGCACCCCGGAATGTGACAGTTCCACAGTTACTTGCTGACAGAGGAATACTGAGACTCAGGAATTCTGGGTTCTATTTCAGGTTCTGAGGCAAGTGTATTCCAATAGAAAGAGACTCTTCTGCCCTACTCCCTGCCCCCCCAGCCCCAGCCTGCTTTTGTTCCAGTTCTTTCCACCCCCTAGCTCGTCATTTAAGTCCCCCAATGGCTTTGTCCCAGCCTGTTTTCTCACCCCCCCCCCACTCCTTATCCCTCTGCATTCCAGGCAGGCATCCTCCTCACTGCCTGGGTACCACTATGGAGCGGGAGGGGTCGGGCACCGAAAGCAAAGTAATCTTCCTGCTCAATTCCTGTACCTGGTGTCACAGTGACCCCTGGCTATAGGAAGGAACTGAAAATCCTACTCAGCCGCACAGCATGCCTAATGCAGATGAAATCAGAGAATTTACTTGCCAAAGAAGTTTCTATTGAGCTTGTACAAACAGATTTTCAGAGGCTCATAACTTGCTCAAAGATGGGCAAATGTTCACAGGGATGACTCCAGGGTGACCTCTCTGCCAAATTTCAAGTCCTTGCTCCAAGGCAAGGAGGCTCTAGAGCTTCTCAACAAATTCTGACGCTCATGGCCTGAGCATCTTATCCTCCCTGCCCCCCCGAAACCTAGTTCTGAGAAACAGCTGAATTGTTTTTACTGAAAGTTTCAGAAAACTTCATTCTGAGGCAGACACCAAATATGGAAAATTTCAGCCTGAACAGGTAAAGTCTGGCAAAGATATAAGCAATTAAAAATAGGGTCTTATAATGGGGCAACATTAACTATAGGCATTGCTAACTAGGCCACCCATAATATAACATCTTTAAAGACATGCTCAGTCATAACACATTGAAAATATAGCAACAATAACACATATATATTTGCCCTCACAAGTTGCACTTAGTTATGTTGCCACAGAGCAGCTACACTCAGGTTAACATTCTTCCTAAATTCAATTCCTATGAGCACTCCTTTACCTTATTGATTTGACAATGCAGCCTTTGCAAAACCGGTGTCCGCATGGCGTCTGCACTGCTTCCCGTAGAGCCATCAAACAGATTGGACATTCATATTTACTTTCCAGGGGGGGATCAAACTCCACGTCATATCCTTGAGTCTCCTCCGTGAAGGAGTTTGGAAGGTTTCCAGTCCCACTGCTGACAGAGACACCTAGGCTGTCTTCTTTAGCTCCAGCACTGCACGCACTGGCCATGGCTGCACAGCAGCCAGTCTCCAGATCTCTGGCTCTATAGCTGTTGTCACTCTGTATCAAGCTCATAGTAACTAGCTGAGTACCGAGGAGACGATCTGGAAGAACAAAGATATGTTAAATTAAGAATTCTAAAAGCTGGCTTTCCAGTGCCATTCTCCCTCCCACACTCAGCCCTCATCTTGGACTTAAAAAGGGGGTCACTGGGTCCGGAAATGTAAAACCTTCAGCCAAGTTGTTTCAGCTCATGGACTACCTTTTTATTGCCCTAACTTCTCTTCTATCTCACCTCACAATCTTACAGCCTGTAGGGAGAAGCAGCCTTAATTTGTTTTTAAACCGCTCTTGCAGTCTGCTCCATCTCTGATTTGCCATGTTATTTCAATCTCAAAAGAAAACATCTTTTCTCCCTATTAGAAGGGTCTCTCTCTAATATTATTTACCCCCATAAAGCCTTCTGAGATAGTTTGTATGAAAAATGCTGTACAAAACCGTTTTATTATATGAAGCAATCTCAACTTCACATTCTGTGCCACTGTAAGTCATCTTTGACATTTTTAGGAAAGTAAGATTCATGGTTTAGGTTTCAAATTATTTGATATGAGTATTCTGGATGTAAATCAGTGAATAAAATAGTACAAGAAACAAAGTAGATGTTCAGCTGCAAATGCAAGTCAAACAATATTGCAAGGCTGATAAGATTTTATATCAGCAACAAGACGTTCAATTTAGTCAGAATCTACAAAACATGAGATAAGGGTCAAATTTCTGCAGTACGATCTGGAAAGGCTAGACACAAGCTAATAGTACTCTAAATTGCTTTCCTGCTCTTCTGTACCTCCACCAATATAGCTGGAAAGACAGCATCAAAACAGGAAATGAATCCTATTTACCTGCAGAAGGGAGAATATTGTTAGCAAAGTTAGTTTTTCAAATGCTACTCTCAAACATGTTGAATTCATTTAGCAATAAAGCCGATAAAGGCTAGTTCCTAGTGTTCAAAGCTTTAGGGATACTGCCAACTCTTCTCTGATATTCATCACTTAAGTACACCGCTACCTCAATATA